GAGAGAATTAGCACAAAAAAGAACACTAAATACACTTGTTTTACTACAACAGTGTAAAACTATGATAAGGTTGAGGTACCTTGAATTATCATCCAACAGAAATGAGTTGCTAATGGCATTGTTGGAATCCTCAGTCATAAGCACCCTCATGCTCGATATGACCTATTTTTTTATGATTAATAAGCAAATTTGGAAATATGAGCTCTTTCGTTGGAGAATGATAACGAATGAATAATGACTGCAAGAATTTTTAGTTTTGGTATTTATGTTACTTACCTCAGCTGACACACTTCGAGTATTATAGTTATCGTCCCAATACAAAGTACATATTCTATAAAGCTGCTGGACGCTCAGAATCTGTAGATACCGATTTCAAGTGTGAGAGAAAAACGACTTTTGATGAAGCAACAATTTTTTGTTTTTTTTTTATTTTTTTATTTTTCGTGTTTAGTATATTTTTGGTTTACACGAGTGAAATAAATGACTTACAGGACACAAATCATTGGTGATCTCATCATACGATATTCTATACTTCTGATGTATAACCTGCATATCAAAAGGAGAAAAAGGAACAAAAAATGTTTAAACAAAAAATTTCGTCATACAATACACAAGGTTTTAACATCGCAAAAGAAAAAAGAACAAAAAAAATGTACTTTAAAAAAAAAGGACACTCACTAAGAAGCCGACAGCTTGTCTGATGTGTTTCAGTTCATCCCAAGCTAACCCTGCATACTGGGCTCCAAGAAATAATTTGTCAATGCTAAGAATGAAATAACTGACACAAAAAAGAACATAATAAAAAATACTCTTTAATATGGTCATATAAGCATATATATATATTTACCTCTTCTTTTGCCTGGCAGCACCATAACTCGAGCTCGGCCAGCCCAGCTTTGACGTACTCGCCGTTGCTGAAAGTACAACACTCACGCCGTAGAAGAAGGCTGAAAAAAAGATGGATTAATGTTTTCGTAAAGATAATAATAACTTTTTTCTCGGATGTCAAAAAGTGCAGAGGTAAAAGAATGGTAAGTGTAAGATTCATTTATTGATGTAACCTGTTAAAGAGCTGCACGTTCACGTACGAAAATGTTTGAGTAAATATCTTCTGTATGAGAACAGTGGGAACCTGGAAAACAACAATTTATGTTATAATACGTAAATTTCAAATGGTATAGACATGAACTTGAACCGGTTTATAGTCATACAAAATTTTGTTTGAGTGTACTGAGAAGGGAGTTGAGGCTATCGATGATGGCCTGCCAATGATTCGTCGAGGAATCTTTTCCAAAAGACCGTCCTGACCTTATAAGATTCCCTTTGGAGGTTCTTGGTGCCTGAATTCATTATAGAGTACACATGTTAAAATGTTGGAATTACAACTTTTTTTTCCTCTTTTCTTTATCTGGCTTGGAGCTGGTTTGATAAAAAAATCATAATTGCCAACATTTCTGATAAATGTAGCTCCTAAAACAGTTACAATAAGGCAAATACCTGAATGCACAAAGCAAGCAGTGATCCTAACTCCTTTTTCAAGTTATCCCGAATAATGCCGTAGATTTTCTCGACATAAGCTGTGAGCTGCTGCTTGAAAAGTAAGGCTGGATATTTTGCCTCCACTTGACGAACTGTATCGAGTGCAGCTGCTGCTGCTGCAAGGCTGACAGACGAAGGGGAGCGAAAACCCTATACACAAAATTTTATTTTCGTATGATTTCGTTGTTAAATTAATTCACACACTTGAAAAATAAAATATAACAAAAAATGAATATAGAAACGCAATACCATTGTCATCCTCCCAAATAAGGAGGTTGGTGGTTGTGGTTTGCGAGCTGGGGTAGCAGCTGAGCCTGCCGGTTTCATGCTTTTTTGAAGCAAGAATAACAGTGTGGAAGTATTCGACAGCCAATAAGCCATATGTTCATTGCTCTCTTGATTCTGCAAAATAGTTACATGTTTTGTTATTACAAATTAAAATAAATAAATAAATAAATAAAATGTTTGGTTTTCTCGAATTTTTCAAAAGGGGGGCAATTTTGAGAGTAAGCACACTTGCAAAAGGCCTCAATATACCCAGTCCCAACCAAAGTATGTCGTAATTTTCTAAATATCTATATAGCTCTTTTAAAAGGAAGAGTAATTTCTTGAAACTGTTGAAACTTATGAATTGCCAAGAATGCCCTCACTAAAGATAATGTTCGAAAAGTTACAACTAACAATATTTGTTAAGTTTTTAAACCTCCATTTCTTAATTTACTTTTATTCATTATCTTTTATTTTTTATACTTAATTATATCTTTAAGTTTTTACACATACAAAAAGATTAGCTACACAAATTTATAGATTTTAAATAAATAATTTATTATTAATTATATTACTTAGAATTAATTTACATATGATGTTAGGTTTCTGTTTGGTTATTTTAAAAGAAGTTTTTAAATGTAAGAGAAATATTATTTTAAGATTTTTTAAATATAATATATCTTATTTCATAAGTGTAAAATATATAATGCACCAGTGAAAGTATATCATCTCTAATTTCCACATATCATATTGTTTACTGTAGAGATGATTTTTTTGTGATAGTATTAAAAAATTCAAGAGGAACAATTTAACATATTTTGTGATTCAATCATATGTTTAAGAATGATTGAATCAAAAATAATTCTTCTAACATAAAAAAATGTCAAATTTATGTGGAAAAAAGTTATTCGCTAAGTGAAAAATATATAATCTTAATAGAAATATTTTGTTTAAATTATACATAAATATAATATGCATAATGTATTTAAGTTTACCTGTTAATAGTATTAGTATGTATAGTATAAATGTTTTATAAGATAATATGTGTTACATAAATAATCTACCATTTACTTTAATTGTAATATTAATAAAAATAGAGTAATTATAAAAGTAAAATAAAATAACTATACTTTTAAATCTTGAATTTCAAAATACGTGTACTTACTAGAAAATAGTTACAATTAAAATCAATTAAAAAGTACTAGAAAATAGTTACAATTAAAATCAATTAAATAAAAATAAATATTACATTACTTTAAATTTGTTGTCATTAACCAATCTTATTTATAAAATCATTCATAATTTATATTAAATGTTTCAAATTACTTCTCAAAAGTAGAAAAAATAAACTATACAAAAATATTGACGAATATATAAAAAAATATTAAGATAAGTAAAATATGAAGAATCATCATTTTATAATTCATTTAAGCTGGAATTATTTAATTTTTCACGTTTAAGATAGTCTTGAAAATCCGTGAATGAAAATGATAATGCATGCATGGCGTTAGGAGATAAAACAATAATTTATATTGGACAAATATAGATGGGTACCTTCAATTCGGATAATATATATAGATAGATCGGTACTTTTAATCAATCAAGAATGGTATTGTTCCTAACCTATTTCAAGTAATTTTCTTTTTGAAATAATTACGATTTAAAGACATTTTAAAATATTTATTTATCTCTTATGCCATTATATCTAGAGAGAAAATACATATCTAAGTATTATGAAAAATTATACTTTCAAATATAATTGAATTTGCAACTACTATAATCAAAATAATAGTGAACGAAACATTCAAACATAGTTCGTTAGCTTCCAATCAACAAAAAGAATTGATCATTACAAATGATTGTTATAGCAAATTCGAGTTAGTTTTAAAAGAGTATGACGCAGAAGGAAGACATTAGAGCTTTCTAATATGATGACAATAATAATGATTATTATTTTAAACATAATGAGGATATCATTAAATAACGAAATCAAAGACGACATAAATTTCTTTAGCATTTAAAATTTCACAAAAAAAAAAATGGATTTTCAAAATTTTATTTATAATAGAGTTCAATTAATAGCATTAAAACATTATATTTCAATATTCAATACATTTACTATTGTTTATCATAAAATACACTATTTTTTTGTTAAACTAATGGAAAGAAAATTATATTATATTATTAAATACAAATACAACAACAACATAGCCTTTAGTCCCAAGCAAGTCGGGGTAGGCTAACAATATAATAATAAAAATATTGTTTTTGTGAGTAAAAAATAATTGTAAGTAAAAAAAAAAAAAGCAACAATATCACGTGCACATGCATTTTCCTAGTATAAATAAAAAAATGGATAATTTTAACAATTCTGGAGTCATGGAATGTATTGAGTTTATTACCTCGATGGCCGACCCAATCATCTGAATCAGCCGATCAAAAACACTCGTTCGATCGGACTCGAACGATTTCCAGTGCATAAGGCATTTGTATATAGTGTAAGCTGCAACGGGCTTGCCCTGGCTGAAGCCCACGTCTTTCTTTACAGACTCAATGAGGGCATCCACATCTTCCTGTAGCAAAATAAAAGGATTTTATTTTTTAAGTAAAAATATCATATACAAGGAAAGAAAAAGAAAATCTTGATTCATAGAAGCACAGACATTCTGACGATCGATTGGGGGCTTTCTTGGTTTACTATCAGGAGTTTCAGATACTTTAACCGGAGTATGAAACATATCCTGCAGAAATCAGTCTTCACATTAATAGAAAGAAAAAAGAGAAAAAGAAAAATGAAAGAAAACTAAGAGAGGAAAAGAAAGTGTATAATGGTGATTTGGTTCTTTTCACTCACTTCATTGTCGTGGTGGCCGTTTTCCAGTACCTGCATGCGTGTATAATATTAATATATTATCCATATGGGACTGGTAAGAGTACAGCAAAACATAATGAATTTTGTAGAGAAGTTATTAACTAACCTTAGGCACTGGAGCCTGTGAATGTTCTACTGCCCCTTTGGAAGGAGCTAACAATGTTTGCTGCCGGAGAATTTTGTTCTCAGCTTCCATGTCGGATATTTTTTCTTCGAGCCTGCGAACACACATTATTTTTTTTTCTTATAAAATATAAAATAAAGGTTGAGCAAAATCTTAATATCAGGAAAAAGAGAAGAATGAAAAAGCTCACAAGAATGTCAAACCTTGTTCAAGAATAAAAATATAATTAGAAAGTTATGCAGAAGTAGATAAATAATAATAATAAAATAAAAAAGAGCCTAACCGATGCATATTGGTCTTCAACTTGACGATTATAGACTCAGCGTCCATGGCTTGCTTCAACCTCTCCTCACTGAGTTTGTTCGACTCTTCATATTTCTTCTCCGTTTCACCTATTTTTGCCTCGAGAGAGCTCACTAAGGCCTGCAAGAGGATGCAGTTTAAGAAAAGAAATGATAAACAAAAAAAAAATATATTTCTGGATACAGTTAGCATACCTTGAGTTTATCATTTTCGGCAGCGAGCTTATCCATCATTTCATGGTCAATGACTGGAATTTCTTGTATTATGGGGACTTGCTCGGCCACCGACTTTGCAGCTTCTAGTTCTTTTTCGAGCATCTCGTTGGCTTCCTTAAACTGAAGCTGAAGCTCTTGTAAAGCCGTTTTCAGTTTCATGTTCTCTTGCGTTTTTGCTTCTTCCAGATCCGTCTGTGATGGTATTTTACGACTTTATACTATCTTTCATTTTCTTATTAGTTTTGTGGGAAGTGTTCAAGTCACAGTTTCTAATTAAACAAAAATATAAAATAAAATAAGAAAGAAAAAGTTGACATACTCTCATTCGTTTCTCGAGCTGCAATCTCCAAGTCAATTCCTCAACTTGCTTCTCTAACTTATTCTTGGCAGCTTGCAGGGCACCAGTTTCTTTCGCGGCCTGCAACCAAAGAGGATAATCGATTAATATAAGTTTTTAAAAATTTAAGAAACAGAAAATTAGTATTGAGAGAGGAAAGAGGGACTTGAGTCGACCATCTTCAATTTCCGCAGCTCTTTACGTGCAACTCGGGCTCTCCATGCACACTGAGTGGCGAGTGCAGCTTTCTTCAGCTTCATATATTTCGAACGGGCTAAGTATTCACGACAATGGCTCTGCAAAAAAAGAAAAAAAAAAATTGATTCTTCAAGAGTTTTGTTTTTTAAAAGAAATAGAAAATAAAAAAGTGGTGCTACCTAAATAAAAAGAAAAAACAATAAAAGATTGAATAATGAAACTAGTACTAAGTTCACCTGAATCAAAATTGCTGCTTTTGTGCGCTGTCTGAACCGAAGCTCATTACGTGCAGCCATACCACGCATTCCTGTCTGAATCGAGACAGAAGATAAGCACAATCCTCTGTAAGCTTTCCTGGCACGATACATCCGTAAATTTCTCTGTATCCTGAGACAAGAAGCCTCCCTGCGCAGGCCCTCGTAAACTTTACGACTAAGTTGTCCTGCAATTAAAAATTAAAAATGATAAGTAAATAAAAATGCTTCTCGACAAATGTTTGTTTCTAAAAGCTCATTGAAGGAAAGAAAACATATGCCCAACAAAAAAGAATTCAGTAACCTCTGCATGCGGATTGAATAAATATGGCCGAACGACGTAATAACGTGAAACTTCTTCTGGCCATGTAAGAACGCATTTTCCTCTGGATAATGCTGGCCGATCTTCCTAAGATTTCTGTTCTCCGGCCATCCAGCTCGGCCATCTGACCAGCCCTCAAAAACACTTTCGTTTTACCAATCTGTAAAAACTTACTCCATAAGTACATGAAAGTTAAACATAAAAAGGAAAAAGAGAAAGGTGAAAAGAACAAGAGGAACCACACTATTTTAAGTAAATTGATTACAAACTTGCTTAATCAGGTCCTTGTTTGCTTAAGCATTGGGATTATGTATAAGCTCAACAAGTAGAAGAAGGCTGTTACCTGGTAGCCTTCGAGTCCGGCTTTTTCCAAGAGCTTCTTGCAAACAGCAATCTCATCCGTGCTAAAAACATATCGAATTAAAGCAATTTATAAGTGAATGATCACTTCCAATAATTGTGATGAGTCAAGCGGAAGTATGTAATAAGCAAAAATTTGATCATACCTTCCTTTCAGAACTTCGGGAGATAGAATCCCAAAACGGTCTACGAATTCGAAGAAGGGCCTTTTGGTAGGATATCCTGCACAACTTATCCTAATAGCTTCCATTACCCCCTGGATTTAAGAACAAAAATGAAAAATAAATAAATCAAACAAGCTACCACTCAGTAACACACTGATATAGTAGTACTATGTTAATTACAAAACAACCCTTCAAAATCAGTCTGTAAAAATTTTGAAATACCAAACTGACATTTATTTATTTATACTTTATGATCTGCACCCTCAAGAGGTGAATTATGTTAGTTTTTGTAATTTACCCAAAAAATAGTAGTGATGAAGCAAATTAAATAAAAGAGTAGCTATACCCCGCAACGCAGTTGTTGAAGGACATTTTGATTCTCAAAGATAGCAGGCTTGAGAAGATTATTCGGCTTCACACAACGTATATAATGAGGTTCAGTGGCGCTCAGGGTCTCAAGAAGAGCTTGTAGTTGTTGCTGCAAAGTTTGAAAGGTCGAATGAGTAACTTTACATATATTTCGAGGTAACAACCAGAAAATAAGCTTAAAAAACATACCTTGAACCTCGAGCCAATTGAAGAAAATTTTGATTGCTTGGAGGACTCCTCGTTCGACGCAGGAAAAAGACCCGAAACAAACGAGCATTTGGAGGCACTCAAGAGGGCCTGATGCTCGGCAATAACATAGTCCTTGTTTTTGTCCAGAAACAACTCGGTTTGATACGTGACCTGACACAAATGAAATTCGTCGAGTTAAAATAGATATATACTAAATGCAATACTTGAAAGAAGAATAAGCCGTTGAAAAACTTACATCACCCGCATAATGTGAGATGGTAAAGTCAGAACGGGCTAATTTGGGCTTGCTAAAGCGTTTGTGGTTCTTGAAAGTTTGGTACAGCTTTTGGGCGAACGTATCATGAGTTGAACGAGGGAACATGCTACAAAAACAAGTATCACAGATAAATTTAGCCAAAAACGGCCGACCCCATTTGTTGTTATTCGTAAATAAGTTAAACGATTTAAAATATACTACTTTTGGTGATGAGAGACTCACCAAGCTTCATCAAGAAGGGCTATAATGCCACCTGGCTTCTGAGGAATTTCAGAAAACAAATATATAATAGAAAGTGAGAAAAAAATAAATATATATATATATATAGAGAGAGAGAGAGAGTTGGAAATATAAACCAAGCAAAGACAGCACGACCTTTTCAATTAGATCCAAAACATCTTGATTGTCAATGAACTCTATGTAGCTCCAGTTAATTTCTTCTTTCGTGTACTCCTCTTGCTCCATTTTAAACACGTGCTGCCAAATAACTAGCTTAGTATCGAACAACTGAAATAAACATGAATAAAAAAAGATTACCGCAAGAACAGAAAATTACAAAAGTACCTGATTAAAGTGCTGCTGAAGCTTCTCATTCGTCAAATTTATGCAAAATTGTTCAAAACTGTTTAATAAATCCAACAACAATAAAAAGGTCGTGTTCAGAAAACTGCTGTAATAGTTGAGCTCAAGGGTCAAGAAAAAAATGGTTAGAACCATCAAATAAGGCATCATTTAATGGTAATAAAATATGGTTCCACCATCCACCTCAACCTAAAAGCAGTAAACATGACGAGCATCTCGTCCCAAAACCGTAGCAAATAAACAAAAATCACATAAAATGACGAAAATAAAACCACCAAATGCATTGTTGTACCACTCAAAATTTTATAAACACTCGTGTTTTCAGAAGGATATGAATTTACATGAATCTCATAATGCAGTTTACAGAACTATTTTTGGTTGTGTTGTAATAAAATTTCTATGCAATATAAGAAAAATAGAAAACAATCATATATCAACAATGATGGCACAGCGTACCGGTTAAGCACCTGTTAGTCTTGAAGCTCTCGAATCCATATATATCCAAAACTCCAATTAAGCACTTTGAATTCGGGTCTTGACCTATAGAACTATTGATCCTGTCCACAAGCCTGCGAAATAATGACTAATTCTCAGCAAAACCCAAATAAAAAAAAAAAAAAAAAATTACAAAAAGCAATAAACAGAATAGGAATGAAGCTTTACCAGTCAAATAACCTCGAATACACGATTTTGGCCAAGGCATCTCGGCTTGCGACAGCTGCCGTAGGATCCAGTTCTTTAGTGATAGTTTCATCACGGGTCACAATCACACGTTTGCAGAGGGAATCTTCTAAAGATTTTGCATCACACCTGCAAATGCACTGAGGCTTTCAGAAACAGAATTTTGAATTTTCCTTATTCTCATTACGGATGCTGAAATAAAATCATTTACATGAATAAATCAGCGGCCGTGCGCAAATGAAACCAAGATTTTTCATCTTTAGGCATGGACGAGTCAATTTCCTTCCCCTTTACAAACTCGATGTTCCCAAGATGGAGAATTGCAGCAATAACCCGGAATATCGCATCCTGGCAAGTAATAAGAAGTGGCATTAGCATGAAAATGTCTTCAAAATTCCTCCCCAGAAAAAAAGAGAATCATTTTGCATGTTAACCAAACTGCATTTTGTACCTGTTCTTCAGAACTGATTCCTACAGTATCCATTGCCTTCCTCGTTGCTATATATTCTTTAGAATCATCAATCCCATCTAGCTCATAGCAATTCGTCTGATTTAAATAGTTAAATGTCCTCGGGTTTCCCAGGTGGTACTTCTTAATTTCCTGAGAGATGCATGGAGATATTTAATATGATAATAAAGGAACAAAAAAAAGGTAATTCTAACTGGAGAATAAGAAGATATAAAAATCAAACTTACACCAACTTCATATAAAATAATAATTAAATTACAGAAATACAATCAGAGAGAGAGAGAGAGAGAACCACAGTAGATGTTAAGTGGGAATACATTACCTCTTCGGGTGCAGCACAAAGCATATAGAAACAATGGTAGTTTCTCTCAGGATCAGACACTTGACAAACACGAGACCTTTCAAGAAGGTATGTTCTGATGGCAGCCCCTGATATCTTACCCCTTTGATCGAACTGAATCTCGACAAACTTACCAAAGCGACTAGAAAAAACAGAATTCGTGGGGGAATCAATAGAATTGACAGTGGACTATTTCAAGAAAATAATGTAGACTTATTAAGGAGAAACAAAAGAAACATGAACTGAAATTTTATGTACCTTGAATTATTATTTCTCACTGTCTTTGCGTTACCAAATGCCTCAAGAACAGGGTTCGACTTCAATAAAGAAAAACATGCAAAATAGTGAGCTAAAAAATTGGTCTTTTGCAATGTAACACATTAAAAA